TGCCGCTTCTCGTTTCCATCTTCTTTTTTCTTTGTCCCACTCTCTGACACCAATTAGTTTCATCTATGTTCGTTTGATAATTTCCCGTAAAAATGATTCTCGAGGAACTTCAGCGATACAAGCCTTTTCTTAAATAAAACTAGTTTATTCTTCCTCAATACAACTTTGCAATACACAGAATTTCCACAGTCACTTTAACTTAAACACACGCTATAATTCACAACAATTTACACACTTTACTTACGGCTTGACTCGATTATCTGTCTCTATCTCCCTGTCTGCTGTTCAATTATCTATCTATCTATGCCGTCACTTCTCGCCGGTCTTATATATACGAAATAGAGGGCGTCTGGTAAACACTCGAGCCTTCACGAACGTTCTAGATACTCATTACGTGTTACCAGCGTCGCGTGAATTCCGCTGTCATAACAATATGTTTGTTTTAAATGCAGAAAGAATAAAAAGGGAGACATGTTTGGTTTAACTATTGCATGAACAAATTGAGAGATTGTGTTTAGTTTAAATGGGGCAAGAATGAGAAGGGAGACGTACCTTTGGTTCAAATGTGGTAAGAATAAAGAGAGAGAGACATATGTTTGATTTAAATGCGACAAGAATAAAGAAGGAAACTATTGTTGGTTTAAATGTAACAAGAATAAAGAGAGAGACATAGGGTTAGACACCTACATAAATTGGTGAGTTTATTGTATGAGGTTACCCAACGCAGAGAGAAAACAGCTAAATTCAAACCTTTCAGAAACTACTGTTCAAGACAAATAATCGTGCATACAAGAGTATGAAAAAAAAGGCATTTTCTCCCAAAATAGTGGTTGGACTGCGTCCACTGTTCCAAAAAAGACAATAGACGGCGCTCACCTGCGTCCAACCTTAAATCTAACACTGGAAAGACATATGTTTATATGCAGAAAGAATAAAGGGATAAACGTATGTTTGGTTTCAATGTAGCGAGAATCGAGTAACGTATTGTTGTACTCCATATTCATTTTTTTACATTTTATACGTGTTCACTAGAGGGCGCCCGGCATGGCCAGGAGGTTAGTGCGCTCGATTCGCAATCTGAGGGTCGCGGGTTCAAATCCCCGTCGCACCAAACATGCTCGCCCTTTCAGCCGTGGGAG